CCCCAAGAGGAGCCAACTTCCTTGCAGGGCACAGAATGTTACTGCTTATCCCTGCAAGCTCAGTCTGTGGTCTCTCCTTCCCAAGGATGGGAACATGGCCAAGGCCCACTCCTCCTGTAGCCAGAGGCAGACGGATCCTGCCTGTGCCGATGTCTCCGCTGGTTTTATGGGCATATTTCTCACACCCTGTTCTGCTATTAAAAGTAAAACAAGGCACACATCGCATGTCTCTCCTCAGACTGTTTCCTTTCTAATAAGCTTCTGGTTGGAATGGGTTTTCCTTACCATACCAAGATTGAAAGTCCAGAGGCTCCAGTTACACTTTCCTGGTTTTGTACCCCACCCCCGCCTCCTTTTTCTTCTGTTTGCAAAGAAAATGAAGTTTAGTGAACTTTGCTTGCACATACCCAATCTTCCACGAGGAGACTCAAGCAGATATTTTATGCAAGCAGAGAAGGGTAGCCTTGGCTCTGCCTACCTTGAAGACAGAGCAGCAGAACCCTGAGCTGATACTTTGTATTCTGCAGGTAGAACAATCTGGCAAGGCCTTGAAAGGACCAGAGCCATCTTCTGCAGGCAGTTGAGGAGCATCCTGTCTGTCTTTGGTTTGTCAAATCTGAAGGTACAGGGTTGAGGCCACCCTGGTAGCTACCCATGGGACTGAGTAGGCTTGAGGAGGCATGATAGCCAGGGCCATCGTTTTTGGGTCTAATTTGCAAAGACTCCCATCTAGTTCTGTCTGGGGTATCCAGTCAAGGAGACATGCTGACACTGGTAAGATCTAGGGCGTGTTGAGAGGCCACTGGAAGGGGCTAAGTCCTATCAATAGGAGGGTACCACTCGTATTTTAATAGCCCAGAGGACACAATGCTGAGTCAGAGGGATGGGATATGGAGATATGGAGCTATAGGAAAGCATGGTCCAGGGAACAAGAGGCAGAGCTCAGCTTGCAGGTGGCCATGCGTGACCCCAGTTTACACCTTGTCATCACCTGACATTTCCTGCTGTCTAATGGCATATCCCAACTCCAATACAGGTATTTACTCCAATCCATTTTGCAGTGTGGGAAACCGAGGCCAAGGAGGAGGATACAGAGCAGGTGGCAGGGCAGAGTTGGGCTGATTGCCCTGTGGGCTGATTCCCACATCAAAAGACCCGGTCTCTGCACCCTACCATCCAGGCCATTTGGGGACCTTGGCTCAGGCTTCACAAGGCCACGTTCTCTTCTCCAGGGTCCTTGAGCATGTTGTGCCACGACCTCTGGCCAAGCAGAAGCTCCTAGCTCTTTCCAGCTGCCCAGCACTTAAACGAGTAACTGCTTTAGACAATCACAGGCATGTTTCATTGATGGGAAAAGCCTAAAACTGCAGAGAGACTCCTCCGGCTGGACTGAAATATGTTTCTGCTCTACCGTGGATGGAAAGGAAGTGGATTAATAGGGTGTGCAACAGAACAAGGCTTCCTGTTCTTCTGTTAAGCACTTTACAATGCCCACAGACCACAGAGAGAAGGCTGGAGGGGTCTTGGGCAGCCTCGCAGCCAACCCAGCTCATTTTACACTTGAGCAAACTGAGGTCTCTAAGTTTGGCTGCAGCCCTAATTAGCTATTACGCCTGATTGGAAGCCCGGGGTCCCAGTTCCCTGGCTGGATTTCTCTCTGCTGGAGCTCACACATGCTCACAGAAAACACTGGGAGTGTGAAATTAGTATAGATAATGAATTTACTATTACATATAGGTGTGATCTTTTATCCATACCACAACTCCTACAGAGTGTGGCCTAGGAGTCAGAGAAGAAGCCTGGATTTCTACACTAATCATGGTATTTCTGGATAAGGTGGGACAGGTAGGAAGGAAGGAATCCATTGGCCAACAGTCAGCAGAAAAGGAAAGAACTTGGGCGTAGTTAAGTAAAGACCTCCTCCTGGAACGCATAGCTCCTAACTTGGCCTTATAACAACCACATAATGTTGACAGGAAGAGAGGAAAACGTGGTATTTCAATTAGAAGTACTGGGTGGAATAGGGCAGCAGTCAGAGAAACAGCCCTCAAAGACATCAGGTCCTAATCTCTGTGACCTGTAAATGTTGCCATGCAAATGTGTCTTATAAGATGTGACTCCATTGAGGATTGTGAAATGGGGAAGAGGGTTATCTTGCATGATTCTAATTGTTCCCAGATGCTAACGCCGGTGTCCTCATAAGAGGGAGGCAGAGGAAAATAACACAAGTCTGGAAGGCAGAAACTGGAGTGATATGGCTCCAAGCCAGATGATACTAGCAGCCATCTGCAGCAGGGGGAGCTGGAGTACGGGTTCCTCTGGAGCCCCCAGGGGGAACACAGGTCTGTTGGCATCTTGTTCACGGTCTAGTGGTGTTGGTGTCACATGTCTGGCCTCCGTTGATGTCACATGTCTGGCCTCCAGACTGGAAGCCTGTCGTGTATGCCACCATGTTTTCCATGACTCATGACAGCACACAGAGGAAAATTAATCCAAAGAGGAAACAGCATACTTCTAGGCAAGGTGTATATTTCCAGATCATTCCTGGGAGTGTAACCAGATATTTGGACATAGGTGATAAAGAATTAAGTCAGAACCACGTGTCCTGTATTAGTATGGAGCACAGTAGGAAGTTATCGTCCTGATGGAATTGTACTTCTAAGGAGATAGCACTGTGCCACAATTGGTTAAGCTTCTCCTTGCAATGTTGGCATCTTATATCACGGGCTGCTTCAAATCCTGGCTGCTCTGCTTCCAATCCAGATGCTTGTAAGTATGTCTGTGAAACCATGAAATGATGGCCCAAGTGTTTGGGCCACTGCCACACACATGAGTGATCCAGATGGAGTTCCTGGCTCCTGGGTTTGGCTTAGCCCAGAGCTGGCCATTGTAGCAGTCTGGACAGTGTGAATCAGTGGATGGAAGAGCTCGGTCTCTCCCCATCTCAGTCACTCTGTCATTTAAATAAATGAAAACAAAATATTTCATTTTAAGTATATCTTTCATTTTAAGTGCAGAGTTAAGGACTAAAACATTACTGCCCAGTGGATGATTAACTTTTCTGTGGCACCTGCTGGGAGTATCATGCCCCTTTCTGTGATCGGTCACCAGTGCTGAATGAATATCGAGTGACAACTGGCAGCTGCCACACCCGAGCATGCCCTGAAATCTCCAAGCGGCTGTAGATCTGGTATGCTCAGGGATGATGGAAAAAAAACCTGCCATTTTTTCACTGGGATCTCAGGTTCCCTGCTGTGCCTCATAGAGCTGTGATGTGTGGGAAATGAGCATCCAACCCAGGAGGAACAGCAGGGGTTCTGCAGGGAAGTATTCAGGGCAGGTCTGGCTTGGAGCTAGGGGAGGAAAGCTCACTTCTTGGGTGAGACAGACCTTCTGGAGAAAGTAATTCAAGATGTGTTTTGAGCTATCATGACACTTTTATTGATCCTAGGTTGTTGATGGCCGTAAAATGAAGGTAAATTAGCGCAGTGACATGAACACAGCGGGATGCTTAACTCTCGTCCCCAGAGAAGTGGAGGGGAGCTCTCCCTGCACAGCTCCTGGCGCAGTAAGGCCCCCAGAAAACCTGTGCAGGAAGATTTTCAGGCCCTTCTTCCTGAGGGCTTCAGCGAGGAGGGGGGCAGTTTGCTGCTCCCAGCTGCTGAACCTACAGCTACATCTTTCCTGCAAGAGTCCTTGATCCCCAGGCGTGTCTGTGTGACTGCCATGGTAGCAGGGGATGCCCAGGGCCAGACACCTTTCTGTCATCTTATTTCTACTTTTTTTCCCCCATCCTTCCATTCCTTCCTTCGGTCCCTTGTCTTACTCCTTTCTTGGCATTTTACCTAACAAAAGTTTTTTTTTTTTTCCCTAACTTTTATTTGTTTGAAAGAGGAGAGATAGTTTCAGTCCTCCAATATCCACGATAACCAGGGCTGACCAGGCCCAAATCGGGAAGAACTGAATTTAATCTGTGTCTCCAATATGGTTGGCAGAGACTCAAGTACTTGTGCCTCCATCTGTTGCTACTCAAGGGCCCTGAGGACTCTGCTCCCTGGTGGCAGATGGCCCAGGACCACTTCCACATGGCAGAGTGACCATGCGAGGGAAAGGGCCAGGGTGTATAGCACTGAGCTTCTATATCTCTTAGGTGCAGGGGATGGGAGCATGCAGTTTCTTGCTCTGCACATGTATGTGAAATATAACATGTAGTACTCAGTATGGCAGCTGTTGACCTTTTACACACTGATGCAAGGTCAGGGTAATTCAGGGAGTGAAGGCTTGACTTGGGCAGGGTGGTTTAGCCACTTCCACTCTGCCTAAACATTGCAGGCCTTTGCTTTATGGTATTGAGGGCAATGTTTGGAGCTGAGAAGAAGGTATTTTAGGGGGACTAGGGTGAAGCATTAGTGGGCAGTAGCTGATATTGGCCTAGGAAGATTAAAAGATTAATTAGTGAATAGGGTGTGAAAGCAAAAGAAATGAGGAAACAAAAATAATACGCATGATCGTGGTACAGAAGAACATTCCCAAATTGTTGAGTGTGCATGTGCTAACCAAGAGCTATGGGATGGAATTGGTATGGCCTGCATCTAGTCCTGGGCTTCGGCCTTCCCTCCCTCTGCTTATGGCAACTCGGCCATTGTCATGGATGACAGTGCCAGCTAGCAGAAACTGTTTCTGAGGTTTTTGTGCATGACCACTTAGAAGTCCTTTGTTTCAAGCCTGGAGGAGATATACCTAACAAACAGATTAAATGCACATGGTCCCGAAGGACAGCATCGTTAGAGGATACAGAAAAGCTCTAATGTTCCCATGTGGGGTGCAGGCATTCCAAGAGGCATGTTAGTGATGCGCTGATCTGCTCTCTGCTTCGAGGGTTTTAACTTACTGTTTGGGGAGTGGTTAGGTGTCCTAAGTAGATAGTCACTCAGATAGGTGGTGTCGGTGCTATAAAATCATCCATGTAACCAATGGATATTCTTTGTCTTCTCTTGTAGAAATCCGAGAAGCTTTCCGGGTACTGGACCGAGATGGAAATGGCTTCATTTCCAAGCAGGAGCTGGGCATGGCCATGCGCTCTCTGGGATACATGCCGAGCGAGGTGGAACTGGCCATCATTATGCAACGTTTGGACATGGACGGTAAGGTCTGCGTGAGCCCCAGGTCCTCCTGGGGTGAAGGGGAGGGCATCAGGGATGTTTAAGGGACCTGGCACTTGGAGCCAAGAGTCTTGGGGTCATAACCCAATTTACATCGGAGAAGCAGAACCTTGGATTAGATCAGGTGTTTGCAAGCACATTGTATGGAGCTGCAGGGGTCATGGAAGTGGGCTTGGAACCACAACAGGAAGGAGGTCTGGCTGGTAGGTCAATTAGAGGACCTTTCTGTTTTCATGTTTTTACCCTAAAAATATAGTGTGTGTGTGTGTGTGAGAGAGAGAGAGAGAGAGGAGAGAGAGAGATTGAAAGGGAGACAAGGTGGCAAAACATACCCATCCATACCCCAAATACTTTCAATAACCAAGTACCAGGAACTCAATCCAGGAGTCTTATGTGGTTTGGGATGTATAGACCCAAGCACTTGAGCCGTCACTTACTAACTCGTAGGGTGCACAATAGCAGGAAACTGAATTCAGGAATGAAATCGGGACTGAAAGCCGGGCGCTCCGATATGGGATTGGGGCATCTTAACAGCTGTGCAGAACACCTGCCCCAGTTTTCCTCTTTGTGACAGCTTTATTGAGATTCACCGCCCATTCCATTTAAAGTGCACAATTCAGCATGCAGTCCATTTGAGATCATCATCACTCCTAAAGTAAACCTCACTCGTCTTAGCTATCATCTTCTGGGACCTGCACGTCTGCAAGCCCCAGAAAGCCACATATCTCCTTTCTGTCCCCGTGGAGTTGCCTCCTCTGGATGTTACACGTTCATGGTTCACACTTAGGGAAAGAAAATGCAAAGTTCATTTGGTGGCCAAATCTTTGGAAATTCATGCACAGTTTTCCCTAATATGCATTTTTTTCGGTGTCTATTTTGACTTTTTCAAAAGGTTTATGTATTGGAAAGGCAGAGTGATACACACACACGGACAGAGAGGAGACAGAGAGAGAAATGTGTCCCAAACAAGCCATTTCTCCACAAAGCAGCCTGTCACAAGCATTAGGAGTCGAAGGGCTGGGCTGATGTCACTATAGAGCCAAAGTCAGCCGGCAGAGGAAAGCAGCAGAGAATCTCCCTGGAGGAAGAGACCAAGGTCATGGGAGGTGTTTCCATGCCCTGCAGGCTGGTCTCAAGGGCATAGTTCTCTCTTCCTGTCTTGGTGGAAATGTTGGGATGCTGACATAGGCTGACCACGTGGTGGTGAGTGAGCGCAGCACCAACCGCAGGTGCAGCTCTCACAATTCTCCCATCAGGCTAGGGCTCTTTCATCTGGGGTGTGTGACTGTGTGTGGAGTCCGGTTTGTCCTCACAGCTTGAATGCATTGTGACTCATCAGGTCTTTGCAGGCCCGAGCTGACCTTGCTTTGTGTGTGTGAGAGGCGGTTCCGAAAAGCTGGAGCAAAGCACTTGCTTTATGGCAAAAAAATCTCTCTTCTGTGGACTTCTGTCATCATTTGCAGGAAAAAAAAGAAGCTTCTTCGATAAAATCATAGAAACAGAATTAAAAAGGCTCTCTGCTTCTCATTCTCATCATAGAGTCTCATAATAAAGTCAGCACAAATGGACCAAAAACAAGTCGGATACATCCACAGCTTTGCTTGCTTATTTTTACTTGTTTGAAAGGGAAGGGAGGAGGAGAGAGTGTGTTCTCAGACGCTGGTCCACTCCCAGAGTGCCTGCAGTAGCCCCTAGTGAGGGCAGAAGTGCCACCGGTTGAGCTGGCCTTGCTGCCTTCCAGAGCCTACGTCAGTAGGAAGTTGGAACCAAGAACTGAGTCCGGGTCTCAGATATGAGACACTATGCCCAGTGCCAGTACCCAGCTAACACATAGATAAGCAGGGCTATTGTGGGACAGTTGCTTGACTGAGACTTATGGGTCTCCATGAGAAGTCCATCATCATTCTTTATGCTGTATCAATAGCCTCTTCCCCTCCACCCCTCCAATCCTTGGCTAATACTTGCAAAGATCCCATTTAGATGTCTGAAACCACAGATTGAACTGTACACGCACACACACGTATTGTTTCCCTTAACATCCAAAGCTCTGATAAAGTCGAATTTACAAGTTAGGCAAAATGAGAGATTACCAACGTTAACAATAAAATATAGGTAACTTGCACCCAAGCACTTCAGCAGCACGACAGGCTAGAGGAGTAGCATATACACTGTGGATACGCTACACAAGAGTGTTGTTGCTGTATTGGAATAAGGTGGAACTGGGCAGCAGATCTTATCTCACTGCCTAGAATGGTAAGCAGCTTAAACCTCACACACTGCCTATTTCTAGAATTCAACATGTCACATTTTTGAACCAATGGCAGTAAAACCATGGAGCGTGAAATCATGAACAACAGGGGACTACTGTGTATACTCGGGGAGTTAGTACATTGTGGCAAATATCCCAATATTCCATGAGGACTTGGAATCCTATGGGACCTGCATGAGGCTGCTGTGCACGGCACTCATCAGAGCCCAGCCTCCATCTGGAGTGTGCCTTAAGGAATGTTAGGTTACACCAGTATATTTTCAAATAATCACATTTCAGCAAGGCTGAAAGCAGAACTTAACAGACAAAACTTGTAGAGTTTCTCTTAGTTGCTTTTACAAGACCCCAGGTCCTTAGCGGTATTTTAAGATGACCCATTGGGTAAAAACATATTTATTTACTTGATAGGCACAGTGACAGAGAGAGGAGAGAAGATGCAGAGAGAGAGAGAGAGAGAGAGAGAGAGAGAGAGGAGATGCAATGGTCAGGGCTGGTCCACGCCAAAGCCAGGAGCTAGTTCCTCCATTCAGGTATCCTGCATGCATGTTGACTTCTGTTACTTCCCCATGCAAGTTAGCAGGGAGCTGGATCAGAAATAAAGCAGCCAAAAGACTCAAACGAAAACTCTGTTATGTTGTAAGCAGCAGCCTACATTTATTCATTCTGGAGGGACAGCGTTCCCAAAGTTTTGTTACTTGCAAGAGGTTCAGTGCTAAATGACTGAAAATGAAACAGCAGTAGGTAGAGGGAGTGGCTTGGCCAGTTTATGAAGTGCCTCAGCGTGAGTGCAACCACAGCCAAGCTGCCCAGTTCAGATGCACGTCTTTAAGCCCTGTCTAGACGATGCCGCCAAGGGAAGTTTCCAGGGTAGCAGGTTCTGGGTCAGGGTGCCTTGGCTGTTTTTCAGTGTCCTCTGAAAGGTACTTTGAGAGCTCTTTAGCTTTTTTTTTTTTTTCAAAACCCAGGTTCTAATTACATCCTTCCTTCTTCTCTTCTGTAACTGGGAATCCTCCCTAGAGGATTGGCCTCTACCTAATTAAGTTTCTTTTTGGTGTGGAACACATCGAATGGCAGGGATTTTTATGGCTTTCCTCGCCACCCTGCGGACTTTACAGTGTTCTCAGCAGAGCCGAGGATCCGTAGCTTTTAAGATGACCCTGCCTCCTGGCCCACAGGCCCACTGGTTACCGCCGGCCATCGCAGCTGGCTGTGATTAGAAGCAGGCCTGGCCCCACACACTGACCTTCTGATTCTGATGTCCCTGCTGGTTTGCCCGACAGTGAGGTCATCCTTTGGGCACCAGGCCCAGCTGGAATGAGCCTGAATTTGTCTGTGTAATCCCAGTCGACACATGAGGTTTTCATTAGGTGGCTGCTTGGGCGTGGGGTGCCTGGCTGGCTACACTTGTAACAGTAGCCTCCCTTGGATTAGGAGGCTTGCCGGAATTTCCTGGATACAGACTCAGCCAGACAGTTCCCAGGGGACAGAGTGGAAGTCAGGCAGCAAAATCTGGGATTGCTCTCCTGGTCTGTAGCCAGTGTGCTGGCAGTGGTGTGACTGTGTGCATGTGTGAGCACATGTGTGTAGACTCATGTGCACATATGTGCCCCATGTGGGCTGAACCACTCAGAGTTAAACAGACAGCCTAGACTTGTAAAATTTGGCAGCCGGAGCTGCCTCTTTGATTCCTTGCTGCAAAGCTCTTACTGGGAACTTGGACTCAGTTGAGTTTGTACTCATGTTCCCTCTTCTGTTCCTGCTTCGCCTCCTCCTAGTGAAGGGGATTTCTATGTTAGCACTGGTTGGGGACCAGTGTCTACCTCCCCTGAATGTTTTGTGCTGAGATCTCCCCATCCACCTGGATTCTGGAAGCCTGCAGCCCTTGGCTGGTTCCTTGGCATCTATGGAAGGAACATCAAGAACCTGCCTCTCTTCTGTGCCCCATGACGTGAAAAGAATCCTTACAGATGGTCCTGCAAAATGTTGTCAATGAAGCTGAATTCCTTTGTGGAAGTGGCAGGAGAAGGACTTCCGTGGGCTCTGCCAAGCCCCCGTGGCTTCCCTCGGCTCTACAGTCCCCACCACAGCTGCTGGGGCCCCTCTGAGCTTCCTGCTTCATTCATTGGGTAAAGAAAGCTGGTCTTCAAAGGGTATTGTTTTTCTCTTTGTTTAGACTCCTTTATAGTTTCAGTGGTTTCAACGACCATGCTACTGTGACCATCTGCGGTGATTCCAGGCAGCTTTGCAGATTGCCTCCTGAACCTTCCAATCAGGAGGCGTCCATGGCAGCCCGTGGCCCCTGCATCTGCCCTGTTCTCATTGCCACACACAGCAATGTCCTTCAGCAAGCAATCTCTATCTCCTGTGCATGGAGAGCAAAGGGTGTGCTTGTCAGGAGCATCCATCTGTCTGTCTGTGTTTCTACTTATCTACCTATCTGGAAAGAGAGAGGGCATGAGAACCTCCCTATGCAGTGGTCCGCTCTTTGAATGCTTGAGCTGGCAAAGGCTGGACTGGGCCAAAGCTAGTAGCAGTGGACTCAACCAACCAGATTCTCTCCCATGGGTAGCTGGTACCTGGCCAGGTGCATAAGCCATCCCCATTTCCCCCCAGGGCCAGCATTCGCAGGAGCCAGAGCTGTTAGTTGAATCTGAGTACTTTTATGTAGGACGCAAGTATCTTATTGCTAGACTAAAATCCCACCTTGACTGTT